TGGACAGTGGGTTACACAAGTAGCCAACATCCTGGGTATGGGGTGCGTAGGGCGGGTGCGCGCAAACACCCATGAGCAGTGACAAGCCCGTGCCTCCCCTTTGCAAAGTTATTTTGCATAAACTTTTTTAGCCTTTGCCATTTTCCAGTGTCCATATTTGTCTTTTGATTTGCTTTATGCATATGGTAATAGCTTAATTTGCCTGAACATATTCCAAATCATCTCTCTATGTAGTAAATAACTCCATGCGAAAAAAAAGAGAAAAAAGTAAGGAACATTTGGTTATTTGTCATATATTTTATTTTTTTTGTTATTTTCAATTTTCTGTAATAAAACACGCACACACACACAGTGGCCAAAAATACGGTGTGCAGCATGGAAATGGGGCCTCCCCCAGAGCCAGCGCTCTTCCAGTCACTGCTTATGTACATTATATTCTACTTTCGTTTATCAATGGGAATAATGCTAAAGCCTCTTTGTAAGCGCCAAATGAGTCAAATCACACTCTAAGAGGTTTGTGCACTCATGGTGAGTTTTCCATCGCCCTCTCTTTCACTCGTGACAACAGGTTTGTGTCACCCATCCCTCGGCCGTTTTGCCTGATGACCGGATGTTCACGTCACCTGGCCCTTGACCCAGATGTAACATAATTTTTTTATTTTTTATAAAAAATGAAATTGTATTCTTTCCTTTATAATAAATATTACAGCAACTTCATTTACAACAGGTGTTTACAGCTTGAGAGAAAAGTCACGTGGGCAACTTCTCTATAGCTACATTTTTGCACCCAATACCATCTGTGTCAGCCTCTCTCCAGTGGCACGGCATTTAGTCGTTGGATTTGCATCACACACACCACGATTTGTTTCACATCATAACACCAAGCAGGTAAGTTAATTTGCAATATGTTTACTTTAATTCGACAGTGGTTGGTACTTGTTTTAGATAGAAGAGTTTTACTATGGAGCAATGTTTTATTTTATGATAAATGTTATGGGGGTGTAGAATGATTTATGCTACTCAAGTTGGCACACACAAAGTACTTCCTGCAAAACAATTAATTAAAAAATGTTGTGGACGAATCAGAAGAAAGGAAGAGTTTTCTGAACCATGTTTTTAGAGTTCAATAAAGAGAATTAGTTGAAACTTGATTAGTACTAGATGTCTGTTTATAGTCAACTACCACTTCCATATAACAACTTCCGCCCATGTTTGGCTGGCTCTATAACAAGGAGCATTTATGGCTTCAATAGACCTAAAGGATGTGTTGGGATATCCCAATATATCCAAGGTTCAGGAAGTATCTAGCTTTTCCATTAAAGTCACAGTTATACAGATCCCAAGTTCTACCATTTGTCCCATTCATACCTGGTTGACTTCCCTGGGAATCAACATTCTTCTCTATCTGGACAGTTGGCTTATTTTAACATCCTCAGTAGAAGAGTGCAGGCAAATGATAGAGACAACTTTGAGGTAAGGTTCAGAAATGGGCCTTCTTTTCTGCCTTCCAAAATTGACAATTGTCCAGGATAGACGTCAATTGGAATTTTATAAGTCAAACAGTTTCTCTTTCAGAAGAAAATTGAAGGTAGTATTTGAAAAAAGTTTTATGATTGTTCATTCAAAGTCAATGTCCTGAGGGCAATGTTGTGTTGATTTGAATTAATTAGGTTCACTTAGCTTTGTTGAGAGATTGACAATGGGAAAGTAGGAGTAGGGAATACACCTATATAGATATAGGGGAATCAGCAACCATATACCATATATATACAGATATAAAACATTCTTATACAAGGAAGGTAGGAGATAGCTAGATGATTTATGATTTTCTTAAAATGGTTTGTATTATCTTTCCCTAGGTTGTCGCACAAATATACAAGTTATGTGACAATCCTATGTTTTATGGCCGAGGACAAGCAGGACACCTACAGTTTCTGAGGGATATAGAAGTCATGAGTGATCACCGGCACACCTCTTTGAATTGCATCCGATGGCTCCCATACCCAGGCCAGGGGCTCATCTATGGCACCAACAGGGGGCAATTAAATATCCTACGTTGATCCAGCAGTTTATTTCTGCAAGCTTGAATTTTTCTTACAAGTTTCACTCACACAAGCATTGTGAAACAGTAGTCCATCATACCCCATTAACAATACAAAGACCTGTGATATATGAAATTGTCACTGTAATAGTAATGTATCTCCAGGTTGATGTACTTTTATTTTTATTTTTTTATTGGAGGGCAGTAATTCAGTTTAGATAAATATTTATTTGTGTTAAGCATTAATTAGTCTCTAGGTTTATTTGCTATTGAAATTTACAGATAGTAATGTAAATTTATTCTTTTAGACCGGGTAACTTTCTGTTGTTGAAATGTTTGCTTTTTATGAAACTTGTTAAACACCAGAAGGTTCAGAAGTAGCATAGTATATGTTCAGAAGAAGACCAATATTTGTATCCTTTTCCAGTTAAAAGTGTGCATTAGTATGATGGGTTTGCAGATTTAAAATATTGTAAATTGAATTACTCTTTCTATATGATCTTTACTGTGTATTGTAGGTATTTATTTAATGTTAAACATTGCAATGAACAGTTAAGTTATTTATGTGCCATATAGATATGGAGAGTGTTATTAGAATGTATACAATGTAAAGATATTTTATGTTTTAGATCCATCAGAAGGAGCAATGATTTTTTAAGGAGACAAAAAAAAAAGACTAAACAATTTCTTCATGTTAAAATAAATAAGATACTAGTATTTACAAGTACCACTGAATTATCTGTATACTGATATACACATTGTATACGGTAATAGAGGAAAATATTAAACTACTATAGATTTTCGTATCTTGTTTGACAGTTTAATATTTTTTTTGTGTTGTTAAATGCATATATTTTTTTTCTTGTTTTATTTAATCATCTTATAATGCAACTGCTTACATTGTCATTGGTCAGTAATATATGGTGGAGATGTGTAAATGAATTTTAAATAGTACCAAAGATTTGTTTTATCTTTCTTTTCTCTTTTTTCCTGGACTTATCTTTTAGATATTTCCACAGTTGTTAACAGGAAATGACACACCATCCCACAGTATATCCTCACTGCTTATACAGGAAAATGTATATAGTTCAGTACCAGTGAAAAACAAGTTATTTACTCTGTTTTTTATATGATTTATAACTTCCTCTTCCATTGGCATTATGCTTTTGGAGTATGATGACTTAGAATCTGGAATTAAAATCCTGAAACCATGTCACGTATATTTAAAAACAAAAGTTTAGTTTGTTCTCACTCTTTTAGGCCTACAGTTTGTTTCTTCATCTGTATGTTCTTGTAACAGAATTACATGCACTAAAGTAATATTAAATATGTGCATGTTAGGGTTCAAGGTACATTGAGGTTATGGCACAAGGATGTTTTACATATTTTTTGTAGATTTTTTTTCTTCTTAGTTTCCTATTCTTTCCTCTTCTTTCTTTTCTTTCATTTTTCTTCTTTCCTTTTTTCTTTTTCACGTGTTATATGTGTGGGCAATATTTCATCTCTAAGTTTCACTTTTGTACAGTAATCCTGTGCTCATACAGGAAATTGTATTTAGGTATCAGTACCAGTGAGGTGGAATATATTTTCCTTTTTATATGTAATGTATTATTTTCCTTTTACACATGATTATGATATGGGTTATTGAGAACATGATACAGCATTTAAAGGCCAAGTTACTCTTATTGATGGATTTTTAACTCTAAAGCTGCTTTATTCATTAAGGTGAATTCTAAGTGTGTAGTACAGCAACTTGAAGGAAGTCTTTACTCTGGTGTTTTTTAAGGTTCCAAATCACAGCATTTATAAATTAGTTATATTTCTGTTGTGGTTTTTTGTCATAAATATAATTTATTTTGTTACTTGGTTGTTTGACTTGACAAAATAATACTTCATTATTTATAAACCTAAAGGGACATGTGTACACAACCATAAGCACCAAATTTCAGAATAGAGCTGCCATTGACCAGGTTAGTGAACACCACTAATTATCTGTGTCGGGATTGCAGTTGTCAGCAAGTTTACTTGGAAAGAAGCTTCTGATCATGCTATCCATGTTACTCATATTTCATAATATTCATTATTGACATACGTGAATTCACAGGTGCAGCCAAGGTCATATGTTTCTTAACGCTCTTTTGGGATCAGGGATGGATGGCAACATAGGAATAGGATTTTTTTTTTAACCCAATGCCAATGGGAGCTTCATGCACTATAATGCACACTAAGTGTATCCAGCTGCTCAAGGGAATATTAGGAGAATATAACTTTCCCTCTTTTTCTATGCATTTGGCTATAGCATATATGATTATACAATGAAGAAGGCTAAAATGCGACTTCAAACTTACAGTTGAAGGGCCGTAGCAAAACAAACTAACAATTGTTTAGTGCAAACAATGTTAGTGGGCTCTGCATGTGGAGCATAAGTGTACATACCACCTGGAGAAGAGGCCATCCATGCCATGGCATGTATGTACATGCCACCCATTGGCAAAGGATTAATGAATGAATGAATGCACCTTTTTTAATGAACGAAAGTATATTGATTGAATGCCTGAGATCTTAGCTTAAATATTAGCTGAAAAAATTGTCTTTGTAATGAAATATTGAATAATAAGTAATGTAATCTGTTTATGGAACTAGTAAGTTATATCAACAAAAATGGGAAATTAGTAAGATATAAAAACAATAAAAGCATGGAAATGAAGATGATGTGAATTTATTATGCTTCTTAAGTCCATGTGTCTAAAATCCAATGTAAGTCTTTGAGGGCAAAGGATAACTCGTATCTTCTACTGTTCCCTTTCAAAAAGGAGGTATCATCCTTAAATGAATGCCTGCTATGGCCTTGACTCGATTTCTTAACAGTTTCTAAGGTTCTGTATCTTTTTGTGGCTATAGCTGTGGCATGATGATGTATAGCCCTGTGAAGTCATATCTTATATATATACTATGAATATGGTTTCACCAAGCTATATCAGTGAATTTCTATTTTTTTGTTAAACATGTGCTATAATTCAGATGTATTTCCTCTCCTTCGTCTCCCCCATTGTCTAATACACTTGAACTCTGTTTGATGGAGTCGTTAACTTTTATTTTGTTTTCACTTGCAAGTGAAAAAATACATTTCAAACTTCTGTGGCACCAGACAGGCAAAAAGTTGGCAACAGGTATGAACTATAGTGTACTTTAATAGCAGACAAAAAATTTCACATACCATTTCAGTTGAAGCTGTGCTTTTCTGAAATATAACCCTAATGCTAAATGAGGTATGATGAGAGAAATTGGTGTTATGTATGTAATGTTTGTTTTCAGTGATTACATTTTTTGTTGGTGATTGAAGTATACCACCGACAAATACTTCTCAAACCCACATCACATTTGTAATGACTAATCATAAATGTCTGCATCCATACATAAAAAATGTTATTTGCAGTACTCACTATACCTTTGTTGCCAGATATCACTAATGAAGACCAGGAAATGTTGAGAAATATATAACCACAACTGCACATGTTCAAGTATACACAGTGATTATAGCTAAGCAATTACTCTTGCCTTACATACAAGGGCTATATATATGTATATCTAGGCTTGTTTTATGTTAAATATTTGTTTTTGTACGTAGGAGGATACCACCGTATGTAAATGTTCATAATATATCCTGAGATGGCCTTAGACTTCTAAATTTCTTGCCCTTGATGCCTAGTGTATCTGAACTCTACTATAGAGGTGGGTTGGTCTCTCTCAGAGATAATTATCAGTAAGCCAATGTTTCATGAAGACTAACCATCCCTTCAAGCACTATATGGGTGATGTCATGTTGAATAAAAAATAATGGAAAATGAATGTGTTTTTTTACCAATTTCTATGTATTTAGAATAAGAATATGTGAAAACCACACACATGAGTAACCAAAGTCTATATACTTATTAACCTTGCGCAAGATGTGACCCCCTCCCCAGTCCCATGCCCATTGTTGTCATGAGGGGGAAATTTTTGCTGGGTCTTTTCTTTTCCCCCTTTCCGCTCTTTCTCCTTAACTCCTATTCACTTACTGAGATGTTCGAGTCATGTTTTAAAAGGCTGACTTTGGGTCAGTCCAGAGCAACCTCAGAGAACCCTGGGCACAGTATCCCCCTGTTTAATCCCCCCAATCCTATGCCCGTTGTTGCTTTGGGGGTCTTAAGGCCTTATCACACTAGCACTTTTTCCGTCTATTTTTTTCATTTCCGAATGAACTCCGTATGAAAATTGTGTAAACAAACATGGCGCTATCGCAGTGAGGTCCCAGGAATCACATGAACATTCTCATACATATTAAGTTACTTTGAAGAAATATAATGATGTATAATATATATTACGAATGTTCTAAAATATTAGCTTACGTTTATATTCACTCATCCTATCTAATTTATTAATAACACAAGATCAACACGGAAATTAGTCAGACAGAAACGGTTGTAACCGCCTTGGTCTGGGAGGCGGAAAGCCTCAGATTCAGACGGAACCCCAGAAATTGACGGAAAAAGTGCTAGTGTGATAGGGCCTACAGGAGACGGAGATGGATCTAATGCTGCGGATCGTCCCTGCCTTGGGCCTCAGTACTCAGTCTTTTCTTCCTGTTTCTGTTCCTTTTTTTTCACCAACTCATACTATCCACCTCCTAAGGTGTGAGAGCCATATTGTATCATACACAGTACAGTCCTGAAACAGTGTGGCTTCCAGTCCTTTTTGTCATGTACCTCTGTTGAGAAGCAGCTGCTTGTTGGGTGAAAGTGATTAATGTGTGTCCTCTCCTCAGTCTGACCATTTTCTCTCAAATTATGCTCAATTCTTACTTGAAGAGTGGTGATTGACAGACCTTGCAAAATCACTGCATTTTCGTCCAGCTTTTTACATGCCATAAACGAGGTATCATTTTAAAGTAATATCATTCTAGAAATAGTGTGGTGGTGTGTTATATTTCTTGATGTATGTAAGGGGAAAAATAAACATTTTCATTTCAATGCAGTGCATGCATGCACAATTTTGGCCAATATCTTATAGCCATCTTGAATACAACCGTTTTCATATTACGGCTTGAATTATCACATGCTTTATGTTCATTGTTGTGAGGATTCCTTTCGTCATACCGCGGGGCTGCTTCCACCCGGGATCCATTAACCTTACTCAACACTCGCTTTCCCCATATTTGGAGCAAGGTCTAAATAAGTACTTATACTTATATACCTTATGCGAGGCCAGACAATAATGTCCTTCGCCCTGCCCCTCCCCCTTCCTCCCAAGATGTTTCTACATCCCCCTTTATCTATTCCTCCTCCATCTTGTATATTCACTTCTGTCCCTTCCCTCTCCCAGTCAAATTCTTTTGCCATTCTACCACTATCCCGACACCTGCCCTCCCCCTCATCGCTCTCCCTGCAGTAAACAATCTAAACGTTCCACCCCTCTTCTCCAATCACGCCCTCCCCTCCACCTACTTCTTCCTCTGTTCCTCTTCTCCTCCTCTTAGGAAAACCATTTCTCAAACCTCCCCAGCCAACACCATTGCATGAAACTTATGTAGATAATCAAAACTTTCTTATCGTGTCCCAGATTGACACAGAAACCTCTCCTCCATCCTCCAATCTCACTACTCCCACTCCCTCTACACTCAAAGTGACTGCCGACATCCATCCTCCCCCTACACCCCTTCCTCCTACCCCTTCCCCCTCCAGCTTCATCTACATCAACCCACCATCCGTCGCCGCTGCCCCTTTCATTACCACATAAACAATACCCTTCCCCAGATCTTCCACCTAACATACCTCTTGATACTTCACCTCCTCCTCATCCCTTATCTCATCCCACTAGCTCCTTTCCCCTCCAACTTCTGCGACACGCATTTTTACCCTTATCGCTCAATGATAATGGTAATTCCTAATAGCTCTTCTACATTGGAATGTTCGCGGTTTCCACTCTAATAGACCTGATCTTCGTCACATCTTTTCATCTTCTAAGACGCCATACTCCTTTCGGCGATTCCACCGTGGCCGATCCCTGGAACGCTTTCTCTCCACAACTGACCCTGTTATTCTTAATTCAGATCGCCCCACACACTTTGACACGCGCATGCAATTGTTTCCGCGCCTTGACCTCTCTTTATGCTCCCCTTTCCATTTAGATTTCCATTGGTCACTTCTAGACCACTTTCCAGTCCTATCTCCTACTTTATATGCCCCACTTCCAAATCCCCCACAATGGTGCTTTGATAGAGCTGGCTGGCATACTTTTACTTCACTCTCTACTATTCCTCTCCCTCCATCCTCCCTTTCGTTCATTTCAGATATACTACAATGTTTGACAGTTACTGTCCTAAGAGTTGCCTATACAGCCATTCCCCGAACCTCCGGACCACATATCTCCAAGTGTGTTCTATGGTGGAACTCTGATTGCACCAAAGCGCTTCGTTTAAATCACGTTAAATGGAACAGTTACCGTCACAAGTGAGGCACCCTTAGTCAGCTATCAGCCTTTATCTCTTTAAAAGAAGCACCCATCAGTCTTCATCGCACAATTTGGAACAGTAAAACTTTTAGCTGGCAAAATTGTTTCCTCTATTACATGTACATCTGTTTCAGCTGGCTGGCATCGGATCAATCAACTGCCAGGCAAACATCCCTCATCCGGCCCCGTCTTTCATATTCGAGATCCTCTCATCTCCGATCCTCTCTAGGTCGCTAATGAACTGGTTGACTATTTTAGCCTGCTCAGTAGTGGCTCTCACCTTCCTTCACACTTTTCTTTCATTAAGACCACTGGAGAACGCACTCCTATCACCTCCCTGCCCTCTGCTGAGTCCTATAATGCTAATTTTTCTTCCTCTGAACTTCACGCTGCCTTACAGTCGTGTCACAGCACCCACGAAAACCCTGTCGGTATTCATTACCGTATGCTCCGAAACCTTCCATCTGCCTTTCTATCTTTCCTATTAACTATTTTCAATCACATTTGGAAACTCTCCTTCTTACTGGCGTGAAGCCCTTATTCTCTCCTTCTTGAAACCCAATACATTGGGTACCCTCCCTCACGATTACCATTGCTCTACCTAACTGCTTGTGCAAACTTCTAGAAAGAATGATTAATTTCCGCTTAATGTGGGATCTTGCGAAGCTCACAATCTTCCTTTTCTTTCCCGGTTTGGATTCTGGCGTGCCCGAAGTGCAGCTCATTTCGAGACATATATTACATCAACATTTGCACGGCATGACTCGGTATTAGCTATATTCTTTGACACATGAAACCACATAGCTATTCCATATACTCAAACAACTGTCCTCTCTAGGGATATGCAGAGACATGGGTGTCTTTGTAAAATCCTCCAAACGCAGGTCAAAATTGCTTCTTCCACATCACCATCTTTTCCTCAGTTTGAAGATGTCCCGCACGGCAGTGTGCTCACCTGCTGTTAATGCCATTGTTTCAGTTCTACCGCCAGGGGCTCGGTCATCACATGTAAATAATTTAACCATCGCCTCAGGTCCGTCCATACCTACTCTCCTCCAACTCTTCGTCTGCAATATCATCAGGATCTTCCTAAGCCAATAATCATGGCTTTTGCTTTCCTACCTCCATAATTTCCTCTCACGCACGTGTAAGTTCCAAGCCTCTACTCTTCTTATATGGTGCTCTTTTCCTTGGGGTTAGTTTTTACTCGAAACAGTCCTGGTGAGACCATATCTTTTCCAGAAAAGAAAAAGTCTTTCCCATTTATCCTGGGGTTCAGATAGCAAGTCTCCTCCTCCTTCATGTTATCCTGATCCTCTCCACTCTTGATTAAGAATGCCAGATCTATTCATCTGCCTCTACCTCCCTTCTTGCTCACCTTGATACAATCCATCACTGCAATCTGCGCTTGGCTCTAGGCGCCTCCTTTCCAGTTGAGAGCCAGAACTTACCTGTACGCCGTCAGGCATGTGATCTCTCGACGCCTTGCCCCTCTCTCTCTGAGATGCTATGCCGATTCCACGAACTTTGTCACCAAACTATCTATCCCTCAACTTCTGCTTCTCCTCAATGTTCACCTTTCTCCACGCGCATGGATACGCTCCTTTCCCCATCCGCCGCTATGTCCCCTATGTAATGCTTCTTTTTCAGTTCCACGCATTATGCTGTCCTGTACTGCAGCCCATACCTCTGCTTTCTCACACTTACATATGTGATGCACTGGTCTCGTCTAGCAATCATGCTGATCAGCGTTCAATTCCAGCGTACCGCCAGTGGATGGAAACCCCAGCCATTCCTTTCACATCGGGGTCAGTTTAGAAGCAAAGTGAAACAGATAGCCAATCGTACCAAGAATAACCATTATATAAAATGGAATATAACTAAATTATCATGATATTATTATCACCAACCTCCTAACCTGTTACAGATCCTTACGGAATTCCAGATTCTGCTTTGACAACCTGTTCTCCTTCCTCAGATACATACACATCCTTCACTTGATCTAATTCCCTCTTCACTCATTCTTAACTCCATCTTTACCCTTTCCAAACCCATGCTAATGCTGTATGACTGTTTATGTGTAGCTCCTAATTATTAATGAATCTCCTTCTACTCTTTCTGATACTACGCCTTCCTATAGTGCTACATAACCTTTGATGTCCAGCACATTATTTTGCTTTTTAACCATAACAATTACTGAGAACATATAGTAACAATTACAAGTGTTCTTACAGCAGTGATAGAGGGTCACGTTTCCAGTTCCCCACGTCGGTACGATAACAGCCGGAGGTGGGTGTGCATAGTCCTGAGAGCAGAGGTGCACATTCGAAGTGTCAGTCTTACCAATAACAAATAA